CAGACAGTGCCCTACGATTCATGGGCGTCTCTGGGTCTGTAGGGAGCGTCACATACTCTCCCTGCAGGCTGAAGAGCTGAGTTTGTCTTTCAGATGACTTTGTGACAAAATAAATCTGGAGATAGCAGTGGGAATACACCAATATTTAGGTGGGCTGCTTTTTTAAAAGGTTAATAAAGTATGTACTGGGAATAAAATAAAAAAAAGTTGCCCAACTAGTGGTTTGGAAAAAAAAATACAACTCTTTTTCTGTGTCTCTTCTATGCCCTTCCCTCAAGGAATGTTTGGGTAGGACGTTGGCCGGGACCTTATTTTCATTTCCATCGGGAATGTTATTTAGCTGGCACACAAACTACATGTGTAAACAGCCCAGGAGTTTGGGAAGCTGCTTTACTATTTCCTCCTGTAACGAACAATGGAAACCCTTTGAGAATCATATGAGCCTCGGTGGAAGTTCACATGTCTCCTGACAGGCAGGATTAGCCGCCGTGCTCAAATATTTCTCCTGACGGCGCTTGTCCCCGAGGAGGAGGTGGGTGCCTGCTCAGCACCGCACTGCCCAGCCGCGGGGCAGGCAGGTAGGGGAGGCTGGAGCTGTCGGCGTCGGAGTGTCCATGGAGCCGGGCTAGGAGAAGAAAAGCCGCTCTGCAAATATGATTTGGGCCGATCCAAATGTATTCTATCACAGTGAATTCAGCAGCAAATTAAAAAGAGAAAGCGGAGCCGCCGCACTGCATGCAGAGTTGGCCAATTCCAGCGTGTAATAGGGTAGCTTAGCACAGATGTACTTCTTTGCCTTGCTTGGTGGGTCCCCAGTTTGTCTTCATTTTCATTCCTGTCCCTGCCTTCACTCTTCCTGGCCTGTCGTTTATAGTCTGTGCCTCTCTGGATTGATTGCACGGAGTCTGCCTGGCAGGGCTGGGCAGAGCACAGCCTGATGCTGTTCAGCACGTACGGATATTTTTAAATGATCTGCTAACAGGAGAAATGAAAGCTCAGCCTCTCTTTGCTGACAAATACTCAACTGAATTCTGAGAGTTGCTTCTTTCACCTGGTTGATGGTTATGGAAAGATGAAACATTTCAGAGATGCACCCTTAGGAATACAGGCACTTTATGGCATCTTTTCTGTGTTTAAGGCCTGTTAGAAGAAAATAGCATATAGACAACCACCTACATAAGTCAGTTTTGAAAATGAGACCTAGACGTCTTAAATCAGCGTGTAAATACATTCATAAATCAGGTAGCATGTTATAGCTCTGAGAAGCTTTACAAATTAGTTTGGAAGTAGACAACAGCTGAAATAGAAACAGCAGCACGCCCTGGGGAACATATCAGAGCTGCCTTTGTACAAAGCTTTTCTGCCCCTCCGACGGGGATCTCAGCGTCACACATGGCCTTGCTGAAGTGCGTATGAAGGCCAAGATGAATTGCTGTCCCATTGGCAACACCCTCGTCATGTCAGGAGAAGTCCCTTGCTCGACTGCGTTATTGGTGGTACTCCAGGAGGAGAGGTCTGGAGCCTTTGGAGTGCAACTCATGTCTGAAACGCAAATTGAAGAGAAGGAAAAGTGGCCGCAATCTCCAAAAGCCCAGCTGCCGACCAGCCGAGAAGGGAAGCACCTCACAAGAGCTCATCGGTGGTCGTGGTGGCTCCTCTGCAAGGATCACCCCAGTGCCTGGCCTCAGTGACCCAGCTGGGAACTTCACCCCACGGCTGAGCATGGCTAAACCGGGGACCCGGGGCAAACCCCCGCTCCCATCAGGGAGGTGTCTGTGCCTCGGTGTGGCCACGCTGCTGCCGACAGCAAGCATACCTCTTAGGGAAGGCCATCGCTGGGTTTTGAAGAAGGCAGCTTCTTTGCAGAGCCTGAGTGAGCAAAGAGCGTGTGAGGCAGGGTGAGCCAAGGGCAACACGTTGTCATATAACGTGCCTGTTTCTTTTTACTCATCTGTTTATTTTTTTGAGCAAAGAGACACAGACAGTAGGTTTGGCCGACTGAAACAGAGGAGTCTCTTTGTAACGTTCATGCACAAAGAGCGACAAAACAGGACAACGTGTTAAAACTTTCCTGCAAAAGAGAAGCCCCCAGCTCTGGTGTGTGTCTGGGACTCACACCCCGTTATTAGGAATGACCGAACACAACTCTGGATTTTGTCAAGATAATTCCACCAAGTCCAGAAGGGAGTATTGAAAATCCTGGCCCATAACAAGTATCAATGATGAATACTTCTGGCATTTTGGCTAAGACAGGGTATCCTGCTAGAATGCATGGGTATATTCATTTATGGGTTTATATCCCATATTTTCCCATCTCTTAAGACTGTGGATTTACATGGCATATTTCACAGACAGAAGTATGATTTTTCGGTGCCAAAGAAATGTGTGCAGTATGTAGAGATCACTGAATACACAACCAAATTACACTTCTGTTCAGGGTAGTAGTAGGATGGCACCAGACAACAGAGCAGGCTTACCCAGGAAATGAATGATGCTTTAGGTAATCAACTCTGCAAAGGAGATTTGGCAAGAAGGTTGCATGCAGACAGACTATTGCTGAGTCTGGACATGGCATTAAGAACATTAATTTTTAAGTTGGGGGGGTGTGTGTCACTAAAGATCTGTGGGAGAGGAAAAGGGCACACAGCCTCCCTTTACTTAAATCAGAGCCAATACTAGCAGAGACACAGGCTGTAATGCTAAGTCAAAGCACTGGCGCATTATTTATGCAAAGGAGTTAGTGTTGCTGTCTTTGCGGTCCTATGGCTCCCTGTTAGACACACTCAGGGTTCAGACTGCAGGTACTGCAAGCTCCAGGCAGCCTCAGCTAATGCATTCCTTAGGGAGAGGCGATGGAGGCACATTAGGCTTTGGCGCGCTGAGTCCGACTCGCAGGCGTGCTGCTCCTAGCAGCCGGCCCTTCCCGGGATGAAGACGCACGCTGATTGCTTTGCACACATGAGCAACCATCCAGCCATGTGAAATCACATGTTAATGTGTTATACCACCAGAATGTCTTCCATGGGGAGAAACCTTCCTCCCACCCCTCCAAAACCCAATATTTTCTATATCAATCAATCAGCTTAATTATACTCAAACCCCAGTTTCAAAGTCTCACTCTTGGATTCTGAAGATATCATGCTCTCCAGGTGAATTCCAACAGAATGCACCGTATAAAACAAATGGATAATCCTACAGGAACATCCTTCTCCCATTTCCCAAGACTGGGGACCGTTATCCACAGCAGACCAGTCTTTGCCAGCTCGCTCGGAGCATTCCCAGCCCTGCGCTGGCCGTACACTTTATTTCTGCGATGCGAAGAGGAACAACGCATTTCAGGTGAACGCCGTGTGCTCCCGTGCAGCCCTAGGAGGAGGAGAATGGATGTCCTACTCCTCTGACCTTCCTCACTTCTTCCAGGCTGGAGAGTGAAAGGGGTGTCTGTGGGTCTGCAGGAGAAAACGGTACCGGGGATCTCCCCCGGCAGCCTGCATTGCTCGTTGTCTTCGCCCCGAGAGGCTGCCAGGAGAGGCTCGGCTGTCTCCATCCTTGGAGGTTTTCCAGACTCAAAGAGGCAGAGCCCTGAGTAACCCGGTCTGACCACAGAGCTGACCCTGCTTGAGCACTGGTCGGACTGGAGACCTCCTGGGTCTCTTCCAACCTCAGCTATCCTCTGCTCCTATGAAACAAGCTGTGCTTTGAAAGTATACAGAAGAGATTTTTGAGAAGCCTAGGTGTTATGTTCATAAGCTTTTAACTGGAAACAGAAGGCTGGAGTCAGACCTGGTCTGCATTGTCGCGTACTCAGAGTAACGTCCCTGAGATCAGCCGGTCTGCAGCACCCACTTGGGACCCAGGCACTCCTTGGAGTTTCGGTGGGGTTATGTGACAAGGCGGCCGTGCTAAAGAAAAGCAGTTTTTCAGTGATTTACAGCTGACTGCTGAAGAGTTTGGAAGGGCAGTTCGGGATTCCTTTGTAACTGCCAAGGGCACGTGGTGTTCCCAGTTGGGGCGCAAACCAGAATTGCTCGGACTGGATGTGATTCCCGATGCCCAGCACCGCCCTGGCCCCGCACAGCTCCTGCGTGAGCGTGGGGGCTCGGCAGCCTCCCCGAGGGACTCGTGGGCTTCCCCGGCGACTGAGCGGGGACAGATGCAGAGGAGGGGCGCTCACCTGGGCACCACCACCACTGCTCACGCAGCGCCGAGATTTTTTCTTGTCCTGGGGACTCTCACTCATTAGCTGGCAAATCGGGCACATCACCGCGAGAGCATGAGGGAGGAGGAAATTTGGGGATTTGAATGGTCTTGCGTTTAAGCGGGGTGGCATGGCAGTAAGATAAGGTCATACTTCAGGGAAAAGTACATTATAGTTTGGGTTTCTCCATTAGGGTTCTGTGGAAAGAAGCAGTGCAGAATATGTTCTAGTGTTATGACACGCCATAGCATCTCTTT